GGGGGGGGGCCGGGGCGGCAATGTCACCTCCAACAGAACTTGCAGAGTGCCATGCATTGGATGCTCGGCATGTGGGGCTCGGAGGGTGCGTGCAGGACCCTGTTTCCTCCTCACAGCAACTGCCAAGGTCAGAGAAGTGATTATCATCCCGTTTTACTTGCGAGCAAACACTCGGAGGGGTTGAGTGGCTTGCTCAAGATCATTCTGCTGGGTGACAGAGCCCGTAAGCACACCCAGTGCTGTCTAAACTCTGAGACCGAGGCTCTCTATTGTGTGAGTGCAGCAACAGACTCTGCTCTGGGCAGGGGGACAGAGGCTGTATCAGGGTGGGCTTCACAGGGGAGGAGACATTTGAGCTGGAGCTTGAGGAGTACACCAAGGAGGGGCAGGGCACCATTCATCCCAAGCAGAGGGGACAGAATATGCGAACGCCAGACAGCGTGGTGTGTGGTTGGGGGCTGGGGGTGCTTGGAGCACAGAGGCAGGCATGGGTCTGCCCAGCAGGTTGGGATAATATTACACAGGGCCATTTTGAGAACTGGGATGTTACCTATAGGCAGATGCCATCCTACAGGCCACTAGAGGGTGCTGGGTGGGGAGTGTGACATGTGAGCTTTGCATGTCAGAAGAGCCTTGCAGGTGGGAGGCTGGGGGTCGGGGGAGGGAGGCATGGAAGGAAAGGGGTGGGGGCTGGGAGACGGCATGCGGCAATGGGAAGGCCCCAGCCAAGGGAGGAGAGATGGGGCCTGCCATAAGGCAGGGTATGGGGCGGGGGTTGCAGGGGGCTCTGGAGTGGTCCTGACCGCTTGGGCAGGGCCTGGGAAGAGTCTGTGTCCAGGAGGAATGCCCAGTGTTGTCCTCTCTGTGACTCCAGCCTCCGTCAATGTTCAGGGAGTGAACAAGGGACAGGTGAATGCCCGCCCATGTGACCTGGCAGTATTCTCAGGATGCCACACCCCGAGGTGCTTGGGCGAAGGGTGGTCAGAGACGGGCGTGGGAGTCAGCCTGGACTGCCGCCCCTGGGGCTGGGGAGTTGGTTTTGGAAGGCAGAGAGGTGGAGTGATTCTAGAACTCCAGGCCCAGCCCTGACTCTGGCCACTGTTGATTTCTGGAGTCACTTCCAGTGTCCTGGCCACAGGCCAGGGCAAGACTGGAGATTTTCTGGGGTCTCTTGAGCTTTGTGGGGTGTCCCCACCACTGTTGAGTCGGTGCCTGTTTAGCCCTGGTGGTGCCGACGGACAGAGAGGACAGACAGACGGAGAGGTGCTGTACAAGGTCTTTTTCTTTGTTGTCATGGTTGGTTTCGTACATCTCAGCATTTGCGTCATACAAAGGGGGAGCAACGGCCATGGCTTTTGGTCAGGTTCAGGGAGACATGAAGGGGTGCCCCTCCCCTCCCCCCAGGCACTGACACATTTAAAGGAAGCAGAGCAACAGGAACACAGCACGAACGTGGGAAAGGGGTCCCCCGCGGAGCAGGATGGTCGGTCTCACCTGGGTCTCACCAGGACTCCCCACTGCCACCCCAGGGCCAGCATGAGCACCTCCCATTCTCTCCCCAGTGAGGGGGGTGGGGCACAGGAGTGGGGACTGGGGCAGGGACGTCTGGTGGGAGGCATGTCCTCAGGCTAGCGAGACATCCCCCATCTGAGCCAGTCGCCCCCAGCCTCCCCGTGTGGTCAGGAGCCTGTGGAACCCTAGGATGGAGCAGCCGGCTGCGGGGGCTCTGGGGCTGGAAAGTCCGCCCCATTTCACTCCAGCCACGAGCTTTTGAGGCTGCTTTGCCCACCAGCCGTACTTCTATCCCTCCCCCACCTCTCTCTCTCACACCTGGGAGGGCCTCTCAACTCCTGATTCCACTTGGAAGAGCACCCACACAGCTCTGCAGTTAAGGACACCTTCCGGTGTCCTTCCGGCTTCGGGACCTGCAGTGGAGGCCGTGCCCAGCACAGGGAGATCCCGAGAAGCCTTTTTCCTTCTCTCTGGGGGTGCATCTGGGCACAGGAGCCCGAGCGGCCCTCCGCACAGGCACACGCGCCCACCGGCGGCTGCGCGCTCCCTGCACTCATTCTTTTCTCACCGTATACAAACGACTGCGCCTCCCTAGTCCCCTAGCTGGCGGGTCTCTCCTTGTGAGTCGTGTGTGTGCTGAATTCTGGGGCTTCTCCCCGCCAAGTGTCCGTGCACACTGCCCCATTGATGTGTGGCACACTCATCCCCTCCCATCCCGAGGGTCGCACACACCTCACGCCCCAGGTGCATCCCCTGCCAGAGCGACCTGTACAGATTTTGTGTCCCCACCAGTGTGCCGCACACAGACATCCTCTCTGGGCCTACATTAGCTGCTCCCACAGTCAGGTCTGTGTTAGAAATGACAGTCATTATGTCCCCTTGGACCTAAGAGTGATCTCTCAGCAGTGGTTGGAACCAGGTATGCACTGGGCAGAAATTCTCCCTCTGCCTCCACCTCCAGGAAGACCTCAAGCCCTGCTGTCAAGGAGCAGAATGGAGGGGTCCAGATGTGTACCCAGCCTGGAGGGCACTGGGGTGGGGCCTACTCTGGGTGCCCAGAGGGCCTGCAGAGCCACCAGGGATGCCCTCTGACCACCTGGGCTATCTGGTGTGGCTGGGTTCCCTTGCTCATCTGAAGCTCACTGGGCCTTGGTCTCAGCTACCCACCGGGCACTCTCTGTGCCCTGGCATCACCTTTAAGGTTTGAGGTCCGCTGTCAAGGGGGAGACCTCTCTGAACACTTGGCATCCACTCTGTGTCCAAGCAAGGCTCACCCACAGGGTGTGGGGAGGCCTGGGGCCCCTGGACTGGGCCCTGCCTGTCTTTGGCCCAGGACCCCAAGGCTCTCGAGAATGACCATCCTGCCCAGGATGATGGACACAGACAGACAAGCAGACAACAGGGGTGCAAGGTGGCTCCCCATCACAGACACAGACACAGGCCCCTGCGGGCCAACACGGGGCACAGGGGAGGGCTGGGGTGGGGGAGGAGGGTAAGTCCGGGGAGCCGGAGCTGCTGAGGCCCTGCTCCCCAGAGAAGGGACAGACCAGGGGACTTTTCTGGTTCCCTAAACATATGGATTGTTTTGTCTCGTCTTTAAAGTATTGCAGTCTAACTGATATGGCTTTAACTATTGGAAACGGACAGAGAAGACACATGTCTCTCTCTGAAATAAAAGCATAAGTCCACTAAAATGGAAAACCCGCAGAATGCAAGTGGGGCTTCAGGGCAGGCAAGTCGCCCCTCCCTGGCCCCTGCTTTGGGGATAGGCCCTGGTGAGGGCCAGCATGGCTTCCTGGGGCACTGCCTGGGTGTGTCCCAGTGGGATTCTGAGGACCTCAGGCAGGAACCCCCCAAGGGCGGGAGGACTCTAGGCCAAGGACAAGGTCTCCTGTCGGATGTGGCCTCCTGGGACCGACGGTGTCAGGGCTGGCAGGGGGCATCTTACCTGTGTTCTTTCTCCCCAAGCACATGTCCAGGCACACAACTGCCTTTTCAGACCCATACACATGACAGCCTTAGCACATCTCACAAGTCTCTCAAACACACATTTCTGCAACACCTGACACCTAACACATACCCATCACTTCTGAAACACATACCGTTTTGAAAACACATGCATAAACAAGCTAACACATGCAATCTCTAAACACAGATGACTAGCACACACTCATGACACAATCTCAACTCAAATACACCACCTCAAACAAGCACAAGTCATAGCTATGATGACTAACACACGTACACAATCTCAAGACGCACATACACATTCTAACCATCCACATATGCATGAAATCTCTGGACACACAATCGCTGATGCAGTCTTTGCCATGCACTATCACGCATGCATGGACACACACTTTACTCCCCCATTTGCTCACCCCCCCAGCACCATTCTTACACAACCGACTGAGGAGGAAGCCTTGATAACTTGGGGGAAGGGGGATAAGTGCCAGTCCCATACATCCCAGAGGAGAGTTTGTTCTTGGCCAATGAGATGAATGGACGGATGCCTTCTGTCAAGTGGGAATTGGCTTCTCCCCAGTGGCTTGGGGCTTTGGCCAGGAAGGATCCTCCTGGGGACCATGGGGGCCCTGGAAGCACATAGACAGGACAGGGTGAGGGAGAGGGGTGGATAGGAATGGGGGCAGCTTGGCCACACCAGTGGGAGGTCCCACGGCATAGACCATTGCTGCCCGATGGCTCCAAGTGTTTTCTGCAGCCCCTTGGCTGGGCAAGCTGGGCCCAGCCTGGCAGTGGGGCCCCAGGACCCAAGTAGGGTGTTGGGTGGGGGGACAAGGGGCTGCCCCACCCTGGGGCTCCTCCACAGATGAGCTAAAGTCTGAAGAAGATCCATTTGGAGGGACCAGCTTGGCAGGGGCCATGCCTCTCTAGGTGCGGGTGGGGGAACGGGGTGCTCCTGGGCTGTGTGTATCACCAAGGAGAGGGAAGAAGGAAAGTCCCAGCCTTCTGCCCAGACCCCAGCCTGGCCAAACCCCGGACCTCTCAGGCTGGGCCCCCACGGGGCAGATTTACCCTGACTTCCTTCCTAAGAGCCAGGCTACTCAGTGCCCCTGCCCTGACCTGGAGGTCAGAGGCCAAAGGTCAGCATGCTGGGCAGGGCTGGAATGTATCATCGCTTTGGCTGGCTGGGGACAGTGGTCCTCCTGGCAGTGGGGAGCATGAAGGAATGTATGGGGGTTACCACACTAGCATAGACCTTAGGCTTCCTAAGGGGCCCCCAGTGCCTTTGGCCCTGGGTTTGACACCCCCTGCAGAGGAAAAGCCATCTTCCCTTTTTCAAGCTGCTGGGGAGTGGGGTGGGGCTGTGCACCCTGGGATGAAGGGGGGTGTGAGGAGGTGCTGAGGGGAGGAGCCCTGGCCAGGGAAGGGGGCAGAGGCCAACTGAGGTTTTCCCCTTCAGAATTGAGACTTAACTTAATAAAAAGAAAAGAAAGAACAAAAAATAGTAACAGGTGAGTGGGGACGGGGCAGGAGGGCCGGTTACTTCTTGAACATGTCCTGCAGCGGCCCAGGCAGGTATTTGAGCACCGTGTCCAGGATGCTCTCCTCCTCCTCCTCCTCCTCATCACCGCAGCCCGCAGGGATGGCCTTCTTGGGCCGGGTCAGGCTCCCCTCGCAGGGCTGCTCCAGGGCTGCCTTCTCCTCCGCCTCCTTCTCCTCCTTCTTCTTCAGCCCATACTGGGAAGGTGAGGGCAGAAAAGAGTGTGAAGGCGGGCGAGGAGAGTGCCAGGCCTCAAGGTCACGTGGGCCTGGCCGAGGTGGCACATGAGAGCTTCTGAGGCTCGGTTCCCTCCCCTGTGAGGTGGGGACAAGGATGCCTTCCCTTGAAGGGGCCTGTAATAACTTCTTTTGAAATCCCCAAGATCTGAAGTGTTCCCAAATATCTGGAGCCAAATTTTGGTGACAAAACTTGACTTGAACCACTTACAGCCTTGATTTGTTGTAGGCTATAGTAGGAAGAACACTACCTATAGCAGACTAGTTATCGTTCCTGAGACTACTTATCAGACCGCTTTGTAAGCGGTAAGACCGCTTACAGCCTGGATTTATTGCGCGCCCTGCCAGACCGGCACTGAAGCGTTCGCGCAGGGTGGCAGCCCGGACCCTCTCTGGGCGTGACCCCCCCCAGCACCAGGTGCTCAGGGCACAGTGGTGTTTTTCTAACATTCCCGCATTCTGAATTCCACGAGTACTGGCCCCAGGTGTCTCAGGGTGAGATCGTGGACCCCCAGCAGCAAACATCGGGGCTCACTCGCCACGCGCATTCCCTTACGTAATCCCCGTGAGGGTCTCGCAAGGGAGCGGTTCTCGCGACCCGATTTTCTGGCGGCAAGAGGGAGGCTCAGCGGCAGCGGGGGCTAAGTGGGGAGCTGGGATTCAGGGGAGCGCGAGGCCGGGGCTCTCGCGGGGCCGGTTCCGCCCCTCGCGGCCCTCCCCTCCGCGGCGAGGCGGGCGGGGGCGCTGACCTTGTCGCGGATCTGCTGCCGGACCTTCTCGCGCTCGGCCTCCATGCGCGCGTGCTTGGCCTTGCGCTCCTCCTCCTGCTGCCGCAGCGCCTCCTGCCGCTCCTCCTCCTTCTTCTGCGCGTCGGGGTCCTTCTCCTCCTCGCCCCCCAGCATCTTGCCCATGTCCTTGGTGGCCCCTGCGGGGACAGGGCAGGGTGAGCGGGGCGGGGCCGGGGGCAGGGCTGGAGCGGGCCTGGCGGGGCGCGGGGGCGCGGGCCTCACCTCCCAGGGCCTGCTTCATGACGAAGTCCATGGCGCCGGCGGCTTAGCGTGGCCTAGCCCGCGGGCCCGCGTGCGTGCAGCGCTCCTGGCTGGCCTGGCGCGCGGAGGTGCCAACCTGCAAGAGAGGAACTGGGGCTCAGACGGGACAGCTCCGTACAGGCGCGGCGGGGCGGTGGCGGTACGCGGACGGGCGGCAGCCTCACCCTGGTTCAGACTCCGGCTCCGCTGAGGCCCACTCTGTGCCCTGCCAGGGGAGAGGAGATGGAAAGAGCTCTCTGCTGGTTCTGGACCTTTGAGCTGCCTAACGGCTTCTTTCTAGAGCTGTTTGGTCCTTGTTTAAAAACCTTCATCTTGATCATACTGTCTGAATTTGACTGAAGCCAGGAGTATTGGAAAGAGCCTGGAACTTGGAGCTAGGCAGAACTGGGTTCTAATGCCACCCTCATTCGTGTTCGTCATGTGACCTTCGGCAAAGTACGGGACCTCCTGGAGCCCCAGGTTCCTCTTCTGTAAGAGAGAAAAGGCAATGCCACCTTTCCCAGGGCCACTGTGGAGACCGGAGCGGATCCAGCCTGGGCGGCGGGACGGACCCATCCGACCCAGGCACGCGCTCGCCATCACCAGTCGGAGGGCGCGAAAACGTGAGAACCGGCTCGGATAAACATACCCAGACTCTGAAAATCGACAGATGGAGAAATCAGTTGTTTTGATTGCAACATACATGTACGTTTTGTGTTTTATAGCCTGATGCTGGTTTTTATTTTGAATTACCGATGTGGGCATTGGAGACACTGTAATCTGGGGATTTAGGGCCTTTAAACTATCTAGCACTGGCCTCGTGGGCACTCAGCTAATATTAGTCTTCTTCCCTTCTCCCTAAGTCACCAGCTTTCAGTGTTTATTATACTTTTATTGTTATTTTTTGCCTCAGAAGATTTTCTCCAAATAAAATCTTAATGGGAATCTCAATATGCAAAACATGCGAAAGTGGAGCTATTTCAGTGTGGGGGGGGTGGCTGGAGCCTTTACCCTTGGCTTCTCTCTCCTCGTGTCCCCCCCACACCCCTGAGCATCTGAGCCCCAGTGCTCTAACTCGTGGAGGGTTTGCTCTTATATTAATCATTCAGTTCCACCGGTTCTTTTACAGACAGACAAAAAGCTGCCACAAATCTCCTTTTGGGGACATCCATGAGCTATCCAAAGTGTGAAGTGGCTTGATGGCCAGCGAAGGCCAGGCCCACTCCCCACGGTCTTTCATCCCACACATAAAGGCTTGGGGTCTTTATGATTTGCTAGGAAGGAAAAGGGGTCTTGGGAAATGGTGGCAGAGAAGCCAGGGTGGATATTGCAACCAGGCTGAGCTCAAAGTCACTGGCTCTTTGTTGATGGATTTTCCTCATTTCTCTCAGAATGAGAAATCATATCAGCAGACAGATGATTTCACGATATTGGGCCCAAGAGCTTATCCACATGATCAGACTGCCTGATAGGTTGTCTTGGGGAGAGAAAGTCATGACGTAGCAGGAAAAAAAATCCCCAGGGGTTTTGGCACCAGACACACCTGGTTCAAAATCCTCATTCCCATCCTAACTGGCTGTGGGTCCCTGGGAAAGCTTCGGTTTGTTCCCTACAAAATGGGGGAGTATTAAGTCCACCCTTTTACTGCTGTCTGAAGGAGAAGAGATGATACTGGTCAAATGCCTGGGGCGTTGCAGGAGCTCACTTCGCCATTGCAGGCTGCATACTTGTGGGGACAAGCCAAAAAGGAACAGGCTTTCCGGGACATGCAAGAAAACCCACCTGCCTGACCCAGGATTTTGAGTTTAAAGGTTGTGCAGGTTAGTCAAGATGTTTTCACATGATTTAAGACATTGTGAAAAGATTTCTAAGAACAGGAAATGAACAATTTAATAATCAAGTGATTTCAGGAACTCTTGGGTTCCTACTTTGTGTTTACACAGAGCTCAAGGAATTACCAGGTGGTGGCGGAGGATGCATGACTCTCATCTGAGATGTTTCAAATTGGTTGGCAGGCCACCTGGGCTGTAGTTCCAGTCTCATCCCTAACTTGCTGGGTGACTCTGGCAAGTCTCTCTCCTGGACCAGATGATCTTCCACGCCCTTTCCCCAGCGCCTCTGTTGGATTAGTTCAGCAACATTTCAACTGCTGACCACCCGACGGTGCCCTAAAACCCCGCTCTTCTCTTGGGTCTGTGACTCAGTTCTTTCCTCCAGCTCTCTTTCCTATCCCCTCCCCTCCCCTTCCTTTACTGGCTCCTTTTCTTCCTCCTGTCTCTTATGTAAGCTTGTTCCCCGGGACTCTGGCCTCAGCTCCTGCCTCTTTTTCCTCTCCAACCTTTCCCTGGAGGAACTCATCCATTCTAGGGACTTTAATGACCCTGATGACACCTAGATCTTATCTGAGCTTGAGATTCATTCATGCAACAAGTATGAATTGAGCACCTACCACATGCCAGTCCATGTGTTAGACACTGGGGATATACCAGTAAACAAGACAGATAAAGCCTTGCCCTCATGCAGATTACATTCTGAAGTGTGTGTGTGCATGTGCCTGTAGGGAAATAGGCAATAAATAAATAAGTCAAGAAATACATTCTCCTGGACACCTCCACCAGGTGTCCCATGGATACCACTCAAACTCAACATGCCATCTATGACCAAACTATCTCCTCCCCCAGACCCCTCTGCGTGCATGCATTCCTTTAGCAGGCATCTCCGCTCCCCACCCCAAGGCTGACTTCTCCGTCTCTCTTGCTTTAGGTGGCTCCCGTTCAGCCTGCAGGGATTATTTAGCAAAGCTTCCTGGGCCTGCCCCCAAATCTTGCTTCACAGTTCCAGCATGGCCCTCTCAGCTGTTAAGCAGGCTCTTGTTCACCCTGCCTAGACCCCCTAACCAATTCTCCATTTCTTACGGCCCACTGCCCCTCCCCCTCAGCAGGAGACTTTCCTCCCACTCACTGGTGCGGTGTAAAGGGCAGGAACTCTGGAGTCAGGCACACCTGACTCGGATCCTGAACCTGACACTTTTTAGCTGTGTGGTAGTTAGTAATTGACCTAACCTCTTTGATACTAGGTCTTCCCTGTAAAATGAGGATTATGGTATCACTTTGAAAATTTAGAAATAATCTATGGGATGCGCTTGCACGTGACGGGTGCTCAGTAAATGGCGGTTATGATACGATTGAAACGCTGAAGGCCGGCCAGCGCAGCTCCCGCAAGCTCCCCTCCTCCCAGCTCCTTCTGGTGCCTGTGCACTGGCTGTTCTCTCCCTACACCTCCTCCTTGATCCATTCATGGCTTCCTCTTCCTCACAGCCTGTCTCCTCTCCATAGGTGGCTTTTATCCCCTCTCCTCTCAAACTCCTTCTCTGAACCCTCCATTTCCCTTAATCCCTGCCCCTGTGATGAAGGGGCCTCCACAAGGTCGTGCTGCTCTGTGGGACCAGAGACCTGCTGCCTCTGCACCGCCTGAAACTGCCCTGGTCAGGAGGCCTCCCTGTGCCAGATCCAGGTGCCCACCTCTTCCCCATCCCTCCATAGCACCAGAGGCCGCTGGTGCCTCCCTCCTCCCACTCTTTTTGAGGCTTCTTGAATCTCCTCCTGAATTCCATGACACGGCACTCTTGTGGTCTTCATCCTACTTCCCAGACAGCTCTTCTCTCTCTTTGCTGACTCTTTTCATTTCCTTTAAAGTGTATCTTTTCTCCAAGCAATTTTCCCCTCCTCCCCCTCCCAGTGTGGCTCCGTCCCCCCCTGTCTCCTTTGGGAATCTCATCTACCCCTATCGGTTTAGTGGCTTCTTTAGCAAAAGATGTCTATGTCTCTCCCTCCCCCACCAACATGCACATTTAACTCTCTGCTGGACATTGTCACATGGATAATCTCAAATTCAATCTATCCAAAGATCAGTTGCATCCTTGCTTCCCCCACCCAACCATCTTTTCCTCCAGCA